CAGGTCTATTTTTGAAGAGCTTGACTGACCAAGCTAATGCCTTACAAAAAATTGGGTCATTGAACTGGACCCCTACCTCACATAAACAGAGAGTCACACCTATACAAGCCAGGTCATCTTTCGCATCCTAAGTGGTCTCCCTTTTGATCTTGGGTTGGTTGTGTTTAATAACATTGTCTCTTTTGCTGATATCTCTAAGCAGCACAAATTTCTGCCACTTTCCGTAGTTATTCATCCCATTCTTATGAGGGTTGGGGTCAAGATGGACCCCAGGATTGGGGATGTACTTACACCATTAGTCAAACCACTGGCTTTTTCGGGTAAACAGGTTTAGCAGAAAGTGGAAGGTTCATTGAGCAGCAGGTTGCATTGTTTGCAAAACTTTAGAAGAGGATGTCCAACCAGAAGAGGTACTATAAAGAGGTTATGGGTGGCCTAAAATCTAAAGCCCCTTTGGCTCCTAAAGTGAAAAAAGGGGAGACCAAGAGCAAGGAGATAGGGGGAGCAAAGAAAGCTACTGTTGCTACCAAGTAAAGGTGAAGACTGCTGAAAAGAAGAAGAAGGCCAAAGTGACTGAAGGAGAAGAGAAAAATCTTGAGGTTGATGAAGAAGAAGTTGCAGAAGACGATGCAAGTTCAGAGTCCACTGATGCTGACTGTGCTGGTTCCTTCTGCTGAATAATCTTGTTAATTGTGGTTGGTTGTTTTGGTGGTTTTGATAACTCTTTTGATTTCTGCCTGGATAATATTTTGATATTGTGTGATTGAAGGTTCAATACTATGTTGTATCTGCTTGTACTGTCTTGAAATTGAATGCATGTTCAACCTAAGGAGTTTTTGCTTTATATGCCAAAGGGAAAGATTGTAATTATTTAAGGATTGACATTAAATCGAAAAACCCAAGTGCAACATGGAACCTTCATTATACAATGTCCGTTGGCTGGACTATTTAAGGGAAGATGTCTCTTGACTATTTTATTTTTAATTCCCTGATTTTGTTTAATTGAAATTAGTGATGTGTTTATTAATTGTGCACGGAACCAAGAGAAATATCTTCGAGATCTTTCACCGAAGGAACAGCCGCACTTACCATATGAAGTGTTCTAAGCCGCGTGATCTACATACCGTATTTGGCAGCAATGGATCAATTAAGGAACTTACCTTATCTGGTGTGACTTGGCAGCGAAGTGAACCTGGACGTAGTATTTGAATAAAATCAATTGAAGATAGAAGTTTCCATATGAGCGTGTGAGATAAAAAGAAGGCACGGAGACTTAGTGTGGATCGAGTCTTTTAATTTTTTATGAGAGAAGAGTGTCATGAGCTTGTTCTCGAGGGTTCTTTCATTTTGTGGGACTTTGATTTTTATTTTATTGAGTGGCGAGACGAGAGCCTGTTCTCGTTCTCTGAGAGCAAAAACTATATTCATTGTGTTGAACGTTCATTCAACTTTTGTGAAAAAGAATCATAGTTGTTAAGAACTAAATAGAGCAAACATAGTACTGTACTTTACAAATATATTCTTCTGTTGATTATTATTATTATTATTAGAGTAATGTTATTTAGCTTACTTGGATGACAACTTGAGTTACAACCCAAGTGTAATGTATTATCAGAAAGTTAAAAATAATGCATTTACACTTGAGTTGTAACCCAAGTTGTCATTCAAGTTGGCTCTATAGCATTCCGTTTCACTTAAATGCTTTATTTATGGTTTTTTTTTTTCCAAAGATGACAGAATATATAGAATAAAAATACATAATTACAATTAGATAGCAATTAGAATTAACCAAACAATCATCTAGCAGAATCTAATATGAGACCCTGCGATCGAGAGCCTAAGAGACTACGCCAATGCACTCGCGAGACAAACACAAAACACAAAACTAACAACTCTCTCTGGAGAATACAACTTCTACAGCAGCTAAAACAAGAAAAAACAACGACAATCAGAAAATTTGGAGAACATGATCTCTTTATAAAAAAGAGGTGGATTATGGTGGGGATTATGGCAGCTCATTTTATCAAAAAAGATATATGCTGACAGGTGTTTTTTGTTTAAATATTTGTGTTAATAATTAAAAAAAATTTAACTAACTTAATCACAATTGGCAAATAATATTCTTAATAAATCTATAAATTTTTCTCTATTTTTTTCTAATAGTTACAGATGCAATTGAAATAAAGTGGTAAAAAAAGTTAAAAGATATCTACATTTCCAGTGTTCTAGAAAAATGAATATCCAAAGTCGCTAACAAATTGAAACCAAAATTCTACGGGGAAAAAAATAAAATAAAATAAAACTGATGTACTACTGAAAGAAGCATATATCTGTTTTATTAGACTAAATTTTTATTTTGTTTTAACTTTTAACATCTAATCTCATTCTCCATTAATCATTGCTTCCAACAAATAGACAAATTTAAAATTTTAAATAGGTAGATAATTTGGAAACTATTCTCAAAGACATAAACAACTAATAAATATGCTACAAATGGTCCAAAATTTTTGGTGTCACAGAAAGAGGCAGACAGAGAGAGAGCGCACGTGCGAGTCTCCGCAATCGTAGAGATAACTCCGGTCAAAATATGCTGCCGCACGTGACTTCCTTGGTCAAAGTTCAAAAGCCACTGGATTGCAATGCACGATTAAATTGAATAATCTCGCCAAATAATTACCATTATTTATTAAATGCTAAAGAAATGGCTAAAAGTAAATATGAACCCTTAGCCTAGGATAGATAAGAACGGTTATGAGGATGGGTTCGTGCAGCTTTTGATCATATCTATGCCATACATCTTAATACTAATCTTTAAATAAAATGTTCTCTTTGCACCACGAATATGGTTTGCATGTTACTCGTACATATTCAATTACTAATTGCACGATTAGAATGAAGGAATGACATGAGAATAGAATAATCATTTTTTTACTCATTCTTTATTTAATAATTGGTATATTTTTTGGGAAGGAGTGACTATTCCAATAGGAATGACGAAACCCATCTCCATGGGATTAGCCATTCCATAGTTTTCTCATTCCCATGTGTTCGGAATTAATTTTTTAAAAAATAAAATTAACAAATAATAATAAAAAATTAATATATAATATATATTATAAATCATGATTAAAATATATTAAATAAAATTATTTTAAAAAAATTCAAATAAAAAAATTGAAAACTTACTTTTATTTACTTTTTAATTAGATATATTAAATACTTATATAAAATTAAAACTAAAAAAAGCATTTATATATAATATAAAAATATATTATTTGATTTATATATTATTAAAAATATATTATTTTTTAAATATTAAAAATATATTATTGAAAAATATTGAAAATATATATTATTAAAAATATATTACTTTATTTTAAATATTATTAAAAATATATTATGTTAAAAAATAAAATTCAAATAAAAAATTAAAAACTTAGTTTTATTTACTGTTTAATTAAAAAATAAAATATATATTATTAAAAATATATTACTTTTTATTTCTAAATATTATTAAAAATATATTATTTTTTATATATTAAAAATATATTACTTTTAAGAATATATTATTTTTTATATATAATTTAAAAATATATTATTTTATTTTTATATATTATTAAAAGTATATTATTTTTTATATTATTAAACAATATATTATTCTATTTTTATATATTATTCAAAATATATTATTAAAAATATATTATTTTATTTTTATATATTATTAAAAAACATTTATATATAATTTATTAAAAGTATATTATTCTTTTTAAAAAAAAGCTTTTATTTATTTTTATAATTAAAAATGATAATTTCATTCCATTCTAGTCCTATTCCTCCTGCATACCAAACGCATCAATGACAAAACATGTTTCATTTCATTTCCATAATCATTTCATTCTTCAATTCATTCCATTCCTACGAAATTCCATTCCATCATACCAATCATGTCATAATGGTGTGATTGTTTATGGATTCAAACTTGTTTTTATTTAGTTTGTTTTTAACAATAATTAATTTTGAAAAAATGTGATATGATTGTCCAATGCGGTCTTTAGAGCATATTTGGTATGCGAACACCTTCAAAACATAACTTTGGGATTGTCCCAAGAGTAAATCCTCCGATGTTTAACTTAGCGTATGATTTCGAATGAAAGTTGTAAAATAAGGAGATGTTCATTTAACAAATAATTTACTCACATTTAATTCATATTTAAAATCTAACTCAACTTTAACTCAATCTCACTATCCAATATTATTCATATATATAATACAAACAATCATTATTCTTACACATCACATAAACTTTAATTCATTATTCATCCACTCACATAATTTTAACTACATATCATTTCCAACCATTTATCTTCTACTTTTACATCAGATAAGCATTAATCATTTTATTTCAAAATTTATTTTAATACATTCTTAAAATTCCACTATCAACTAACTATACCACATTTTTCTAAAATTAACTCCAGTTAATAAAAAAAAAAAACTCATTTTGAATGGATTTATTTGGTAAACAACCCTAATTCTAAGAGTAGTAGAAACATTGGTCCACAAATTGAACTTCCTCTGGACTTTGGGCCTCATAACTATGGTCGGGTCTTAGTTTTAACTTTGGGCATTCACATTTCACATAACACATGTTGATGTTTTATTAAATGTTGGGGGAAGAATATAGAATTGCGTTAAGTAACTAACAACTCAATAAACTTGAATGAACGTTTGAACACTTTGCGGATTTCCTGATTGTCGTCGTTTTTGCAAAAATTCCTGATTGTTGTTGTTTTTCTTGTTTTAGCTGCTGTAGGAGTTGTATTATCCCGAGGGAGTTGTTAGTTTTGTGTTTGTCTCGCGGGTGCATTGGCGTAGTCTCTTAGGTTCTCGATGTTGTTTGGCTAATTCTAGTTATTATCTAATTGTAATTATGTGTTTTTTATTCTATGTATTCTGTCATTTTGACAAAAAAAAAAAACAAAAAAACCATAAATCAAGCATTTAAGTCGAGCAAAAGCTCAAACACAATAATAATAATAATCGACAGAAAAATATATTTATAAAGTTCAGTACTATGTTTGCTCTACTCAGTTCTTAACAACTATGATTCTTTTTCACAAATGCTATTCACCTTCAATCATGGTAACCCCTCAACAAGTCATTCTAATTCAATAAACAAGCCAAAATAAACCCCCCCAACAGTTCAAGAATTCTAAATTTCTATATCCTGTTCATTCGATATATACCATCTTCTTTTGTGTATCCTAGATGATCATGTACTAGCATTTTTTAAGCACTTCCCATAGTTCTTGTTCAGGCTATATGCACACATTTAATTTAACGAACATCCAAACATTTTGCCCATCTACAAAAACGAGAAACTTTTGTCGGGAGGCTGTAATCCGAGAGCGAAGAGGGGTCTGCTGCTAAATCTTCGGCATTTGACCAAATGTAAACTCCTCTTTCCTGCTTGCTGCCTGGGACCGTGTTATCCAGTATGAACGCGATCAACAGTGTCACAACCATGTTCAGAGAAAGAAGTGCATTGATAGCAAAATCAAGCTGAGTAAGAAAACAGAGCAAGCATTAGCATTCAGTGCAGTATATTCATAATGACAAAGCTACATCTTATATTCCCTGATAGTAGGAAAAGGCTGAGAAAATAAATGAAGAAGAATAATAAAAAAATCAACTTTTCGATCATTTAATTCACCTGGTAAGTAACATATTTAGTTCTTGAACCTTGTCTTCAGAAAATTAAATTCACAAATCACCACTGCTGTCTATAAGTTTTAGTCTAATTGAAAAAAAGAAAAATCATTTGTTCCTTTTAAGACAACAAATTAACACAGTAAGGTATGAATTTTCATAAATAAATTCTCTAACCCGTAGGTCAAATTTATAAAATTGAAGCATACATCAATTGGATAACACCACCCAGGTTTAGTTACTTTATTAGTCTTACGGGGGATATCCAGACATCTTCAAAATAATAAATATCTCCGTAAGTTTTGTGAGTTTAAGTATAAAAATTTCCCCTCAGTAGGCGCAACTTAAAATATTCGAAATAAATGTCAATGCATACCCATAACATTGAAAGGTAACTGGGTCTTTTATAATTCGTAAATCATGATGGTGGCTTCTTTATGTAGTTAACAGTAATTGCGTAACTCGGTCTTTCATAATTCCTAAATCCCTTCAAAAAACAATCCCCAACATTTTCTTTGTGAGCAGTGGTTAGGAAGGTTTTTCACATTAAGTTTCCTTGTTGACAAAATTACCGATCCTTAGGACTATACATTAGTTATCCATATTTCCTTTTCTTTCTTTGCTTTTTTTTTGTTGACTACACATTATTAGAACAATTCACCAATGAAAATTATCATTTTGCAGGGAAGGTGTGTATAAACGTAAATAAAGAAAATGGGAAGATTGATTGATCTCACGTCTTTACTCCCGGTGTTGACTGGTCCATCAGAAGCAGCCGAATAAGGGATAAGATAACTGGGCAGTATCAGGCTCGACTCTGGTAGGTACTGCTGAACGTATGCTGGGATTGACAAACCAAGGAATAACGAGACACCCACTATTGTTATGTTCCTCACGCTTGATGTCTGAGTGTATTGAAGTGTCAAGAGACCTAATGCCACAACCAGGGCCCACATGAAGCAGAGGACGGCAGCTGCTAAAGCTTGCGGTATGGAAGCAAGTATAGCACCTACTTTACCTACCAAGTCAAAAAGATAGTCAAAGGCTTAAACTATGAAAAGTAAGATCATCTTCACAAATTATGAGTAGTAATTAAAGACAGCATGGTTGTGATTGCTTAAATTCGGACTGCATATCAAACTACTTGGTGATTCAGAATTCTGAACTTCAAACCACAGTTATAGATTCCCATCAATATAACTGACCAAAACGAATGGTAAATTCCACAGCTTATGAGTTTAGAGTATTTATTACCTACAAATGAGAAGAGGATCAAGAAAACTGCGCCAACCTCCACAACCAATCGGTTTGCAACCTTAGTTGTGGTAATGGTATGCACATTTTCTGTCAGACTAGTTGACCCAGTACCTGAGCCCCAAAGTCCAGCCAAGATACTGCAAAAGCCTTCTAACCCGATTCCTCGACTCACGATACCAGGTGTTGGAGCCTTTGCATTGACTCTCATGGATGCAATGTGATATGTACCGACCTGCACAGTTTCTGCCTATTGCATCAAGAAGATTTATGCATTTCTTTAATTTGTATTTGTATCAGTCACCATTTCTCTACAGTGTCCAACTTCTTTATCATTTGATTTCCTAATAACTCAGAGATAGTACAAAATACCATGTCTTCTTATGCATGTAGGAACACGCCGATTACAAGCTATAGATAACATCGATTTCAAAATCATCTTTCTATTCAGAGAAGCAAAAATAGCAATTTATTCCATTAAAGGTTGATTGAAAAATCACAAATAATTCACCACCTTTAGTCAAATTACCCTAATCTTCAATAACACAGGTTCCCCCAGGAAGTGTGTTTGCATTTTATTAACTGTACCATTTTATTTTTAATACTTCTGGGTACGGTACTTAACAATTTTAAAGGGTAAATTTATTTATTTATTTCTTTATTTCATGCTGGCAGATTGAAACAGATGAGAAAGAAATTGAGAATTTAGTATCTCATAACATGAAGAAGGTAACTAACCGATTCGATCGATGCAACAATTGAGACAAAGATCATAATAATTGAAGTCCGCAACCGGAATATAGGAATACCCCATTGAAATGGGTATGGAATTCGGACCCATGCAGCTGTTCTCATTGCATTAGAAACATCCGTTCTGCAGTGCTTCATAGTATATGCATGCTTTCTACATGCATCAATTAGAATATTGGAACTGGGTATGTCTGGGCTGCAACCTTTGTAGTTATAGGCCCCACCAGCTGTCAGAAAAACCGCATATATCCATATAATCACAACACTCAGCGGAACCTGCAATGACCAATTTTGGCAAAGTTGTCATAATGATGAACTAGGAACATTAAGAACAATTATTTATTGATCCAAAATTATTTTAGAGTAAATTGTGTGAAATGAGGTACATAATTTTTGCATACATATACTCACCGCGTAGATACGGAAAACTCTGTTTCCAAACACAGATATACCTCTAAGGTACTGCAAAAGCGAAAAGTATATTCTTCATATCTAGCAGCTTTAGAACAGCTCAAGTAAAATCTTAACCAAATTGTGCTCACTACATTAATATGAATGTTCTCACCAAGGTAAAAACAAGAACCAAAAAGATCTCTGGAAGACTAATTTCGACACAGGCACCGGCTTGAGGGAAGCCATAGCTGAAAAAAGCTAAACCCATTGCTGCAACTGTGGGTGCAACCACAACAGGGTTTATGAACCTACATTTCATGTCACAAAAAAAACAAAGGAGTTTTTGCATTGTCTGAATTAGTCTTACTGTAAAAGTAGAGGTTTTGTAGTTCTT